TATTTTTAGTACGACTTCTTCTGCATCACAATCTAGAAAGGGGTTAGTGTTTGCGCATCCATAAGCTCCATTAGATTCAGCAGGTTTACAGAAACAAACAAGGTATTTATCCATTCAGGGGTCCACAGGATCACACCTGAACCACAGAACTAGTGCCTACATGGACCATGTCAGCTTGCAGGGAGCTGTGACTTGTGCTAATTTGCTAATATCAACATTTAGAGTTGGCAGATATTTTGGGTTCATAAAATATTATCTCTGCATAGATACAATTTCATTTTCATCTTTGCTGTCATGTTCCAGTTGGGCCACAGAAGTACCCTCTTATATAAGATTATCTAGATCTTATTTAACAGATCTTAAACTTTTTTTATTCGGGATCCCTTTAGGCCTGAGAAATTTTTATGTGACCCTGAGTATAGAAATAAATAAATTAGGTATAAAAAAATTAAACATTTCCTGATTGCAGATCAGCGTTCGCATGTGTTGCTAAACCTAATGATTTTCCTTTTTATGTAGTACAGCTGAAGCATCTTCTGCAAAGTCCGCTGTAAACACTGCACAACAGATTTGTGTCAATGTCTAAAACAGCCGCTGGGTGATGTCCAGAATTTTTTTCCAAACCCCAACATTGAGTTAAGACAGTGGTTCCGTACCTTTTTTTTTTTTTACCAGAGACCACTTGACCAGGGACCTCTTTGACCAAGGACCACTTGGACCAGGGACCATTCTCCAACATTAGTACCAAAATGGTTACAAATCAGTTTTTGGTCAACTTTAGATTTAGTTTGGTTATTTGGGGTGCTGATTCGGAAAATTGCATTGGATAGGCCATATCAGCTCTTGTTTCTGATACAGAACATATGCCACCCAGTAGTCACCATCTGCTCACTCACAGAAAACCATATTTAATTTAATCTAGAACTAATTTGGTAGTAGTAATATTTTATGGGTAATCAGTCTTCCCTCTTATAGTGTCGTTGCCTCGGTGTAGTAATGGTGAGGTCATGGACCATATTTTTGTTATTGCAGACCACTGGTGATCAATAGACTACAGCAGGGGTCCTCAAACTAAGGCCCGAGGGCCGGATATGGCCCCCCAAGGTCATTTACCTGGCCCTTGCTCAGGGTCAACCTAAGTCTGAAATGACTTGAAAGCACACAACAATCCTATCTCATCAGCCAAAAGCAGGGCCACACTTCCCATTGAAATACCAATAAGTTTATATTTGTCAAAATTGTTCTTCATTTTAATTATTGTATTGTTTTAAAGTGTCTTTTGCACTACAAATAAAATATGTGCAGTGTGCATAGGGTTTTTTTTAAAATTATAATCCGTCCCTCCAACAGTTTGAGGGACTGTGACCTGGCCCTCTGTTTAAAAAGTCTGAGGACCTCTGGACTAAAGGTTGGGAACCACTGAGCTAAGAGGACCACATATGCGGTTGGGACCCACAGATTAAGAAGGCGCAATCTAGATAATCCTGCCATAGAAGTTGGCAAAATTGTAAAGATGTGGAAATATTTGTTCTGTGAGAAGCCTATGTACGCTGATAACGTATGGAGAGAACTACAGCTCCACTTCTAGAAAGTCAATACAAAGCAGTCCAGAGGTCCTCAGATACCCCTCTTGAAATAAATATATGGAAATGTACCTGTAATTGCACAAAGTTCATGTTTAGTTTTGTTCTTTGGTGTCAAATTATTATGTATATGTAAATAGTAAACTGAAATAGAAGTCTTTGCTGTAAGAGGACTTTACAAAGACTGTATCCCATAATTACCATAATTGATTCTAAAGTTCATCCATGAATACACATTCACATACATACACAATAATATGGAAACAGCAAACTTTGAAAACATATCTGAGGTTTATTAGAAGACAAGACTGTTGCACATTTTAAAGAAATGTATTTTTAAAATGATAAATACCAAGAGAGAGGAAGATATTCTTGGGATATGATTAGGGTAATACCGGTAGGTATTGCACAGTGTGATAAGAAACAACATCTTTTCAGAAATCCACATTTGTTTGATTTAGAACTGCCACTGTATTGACTCTTCACTGAATATAATACTTCCCCTTCTGTCATCTCTGCAGCAGATTCATTGAACACATGATATCATCCACAGTTGAGTTCACTTCCTTCCTGTCAGGCTTTCAACTTGACGGGCAAGAAAGGATCAAGATCCAACACTGCAATTAGAGGAGAGGCTGCTTTTAAAACTGCTGCAGCTCCTTTGATCTTAGCAGGTCCAACTCATCATATACAGTATCTGAGCTACTTATTTAGCTACAATGTACAGGTTAGGCCATATCCCTCTGATATCCAATCTAGTTTCCCCCTGGCTGCTTCTCAGAATGTATCTGCTCAGTATATGTTTCTGAGGGCCCTTCCACACAGCCCTATATCCCAGAATATTAAGGCAGAAAATCCCAAATTATCTGAGTGTGGATTCAGATAATGCAGTTCAAAGGAAAAATTGTGGGATTTTCTGCTTTGGTATTTTGGGATATAGGGCTGTGTGGAAGGGCCTTCAGAAAATCCCACATTGTCCGAGTGTGAACTCAGGGTCCTTCCAGACTGGCCCTATATCCCAGGATTTGATCCCAGGTTTTCTGTTTATCCCTGATTTTCTGGCAGTGTGGACCATATAATCCAGGTTAAAGCAGAAAACCTGGGATCAGTACCTGGGATATAGGGCTTGTCTGGAAGGGCCCTCAGATAACCCAGGGCCTTTCCACACAGCCCTATATGCCAGAATATCAAGGCAGAAAATTCCACACTAACCCAGTTCCTTATCATTCCCAACCTGTGGGTCCCTAGATGTTTTGGCCTCCAACTTCCAGAAATCCTAAGGGCTGGTAAACTGGCTGGGATTTCTGGGAGCTGTAGACCAAAATGCTTTGGGACCCACAGGTTGAGAACCATTGCCTTAAACCCAACTGTTTGAAATCTGCAAGCATGATTCGGTATACAAGGGAACATTCGACACAGCCGATATTGTGGGATTTTCTGCCTTGATATTATGGCATATAGGGCTGTGTTGAATGTTCCCTTGTATGCCGAACCATGCCAGCAGATTTCAAACCAGCCAGTTTACCAGCCATTAGGATTTCTGGGAGTTGAAGGCCAAAACATCTGGGGACCCACAGGTTGAGAATGATAAGGAATTATTCAAGAATGATAAGGAATTATTCTGAAAGAGCCATCAACATTACTGCTGCAATTGTTTTCTCATATCTTCTGAAGGATGCAATGGCTCCATCTGAGATTATCAGAGGTTAAGGATTACCTGAGAACTGCACTTTAAGAAGTACTCAATCTGCCAATCTTTACAAATAATTTCTGCAGCAAGCATCAATATAGGGTGCGCAACAGATACGAAACTGTTGTCAGAAGTGTGTCATATCAGTATAGACTAAGGAATGCTTCAAGGAGACACAATATTGCCAAAACTGTTTATGGCGACTTTAGAAAACCTCTTCCAAAAAATCAAATTTAAAGCCAGGATTTCAATTGATAGCAAACGACTTTCTCGTCTCCTCTTTGCAGATGAATGTGGTCCAGCTCACCCTCATGAATCCTTGTACCATTTCGATACTGTTTTATTATGTTGTTGTCGCTATTTTATTGTATTACCATGTTATTGTTTAGTATTTTTACTTGATGTTATTGTCTGTTTTTGTATGTATTTTATTTTATTTTGCCGTATTGTAATTGCTTGGGCTTGGCCCCATGTTAGCTGCCCCAAGTCCCTTTGGGGAGATGGTGTCGGGTACAAATAAAGTTGTTGTTGTTGTTGTTATTATTGTGTCCTTTTTGCCAAAAATCCAGAAGATTTACAACATGATCTCCAACAACTAGCTCGACTCTCAAAATCAGAAGGACTGGAAATGAACTTGAAGAAAATGAAATGAATGGGGGAAAAGTTGTGTGGCTGCATCATTATAAACTGAGATGAAATTGAGGAAGTGACTGAATATGTATATGTTAGACAACAAGTACAGTTGAATAATTTGGCAGATGGCGAATGGGCAAGAAGACGAATGGTGGCTTGGATGGTTTTTAATCGAAACCGGACAGTGTGAACACATGCTAAGCTGCCAATGAAGGTCAGAACAGATATCTTCAACCCTACAGTTTTACCGGCAATGTTATATGCATCTGAAACATGGGAAACATCAACGTTAGAGGAGGAAAAACTGCGGTGACTCAGAGAGCAATGGAACGAAGGATGTGTGACACGACAAAAAGAGATGTCAGTAACAAAGAGCTGTTGTCAAAGAACCAGGGTACATGACATGGTCAATGAGATCTATGAGGCAAATAAGATGGGCAGGGCATATTGCACAAACAAAATAATGAACATACCAACTTACAAAGGACAACCAATGGACATGCCAACTAACAAACTGGATACCAAGAGACCACAAAAGTCCCTTGGGCAGACCTTGTACTCAATGGGAAGAGCCAATGGTTAAGCTATTCAGCCAGAAATGGAAAAGAAAACCCCCCAAAATCATATACTTTGGCAAATGGTAGATTTGCGTGAAGCCAAAACGAGTGGATCGATGACAAATCAAGTAGAATTATCCATTCTGCCTGACATCAGTGTTTCTTCAGTGATAATAAACTCCATAGTCTAACTCTGCAGTGTGTAAATAATAAAAAGAATGTATCAGTCTTAAATCACACACTATTCAGGTTCAGGAATTTTTCTTGGGATCCAACATCATGAGAGAGGGTGTGTTTCTCTTATTTTTTCCACAGCGTGCATCATTTATAAATCTCTATTATGGCTTCTCTTATCCTCCTATCTTTTAAACTAAAAAAATCTCAAACGTTGTAATTTTTCTGTCAGTTATTCCAGTTTCATGAGCTTTTTTGTTGCTCTTCCCATATGTCCAACACTACTTTTAACCCGGTGTAGTGACAACAGTTATGCACAATATTCTAAATACAATCACACCACAAATTTGTAAAAAAGCAGGATATTGGTATTGCTTTTTTATTCTATTTTTAATTATGTCCTCAAAAGAACAAAACAAATCAGCTCCACAGTGAGGCCAGGGGTTCATCGAAATACCATAACTCTGAAAAAGGCACTTTTACTGTTGTAGTCTTTATTTTTTTACCTTACTATATAATTCTCAAAAATATATAAAAAACAAATTGCAGTTTTCTGATCAATTTTTTAAAAAAACATTATGATAACATTTTTAAAACATTATATTTAAGTCAGACATGTAATAAATATCTTACACCCTATTTAATGTAACATCTTTGAGTGGTGTCAATGACCACTATTTTAAGGACAATCATCATACGCTCCTACTGCCATCTGAAGCCAGTAGTCCAAGCTCCTAAAAATTACAAAATTGTATAAATTCTCTCCCCCCTTTAAGAAACTGTGTTCACTTTCTCTCCAGGAAACAGGGGTGTCAGCAAAGCCATGCACAGTCAGAGTAGCCCACTGAGCCAACTTTGGTTCTTCAAAATAGCAACTGTGGAAAGAAACAGGAAAGCATAGCTAGTGAATACCATATAGCTGATCCTTTACACAATTACTGAAATATAAGACCTGGTGGCGCAATGGGTTAAACCATTGAGCTGCTGAACTTGCTGACCGCAAGGATGGCAGTTCGAATTCGGGGAGCAGGGTGAGCTTTCTCTGTTAGGCCCAGCTTCTGCCAATCTAGCAGTTTGAAAACATGCAAATGTGAGTAGATCAATAGGTACCACTCCTGCAGGAAAGTGACGGTGCTCTGTGCAGTCAGGCTGGCTACATGACCTTGGAGGTGTCTACAGACAACACCAGCTCTTTGGCTTAGAAATGGAGATGAGCACCACCCGACAGTCAGACATGACTAGACTTAATGCCAGGGGAAACCTTTACCTTTACTTAAGACTTATTAATACGACTGTATATAAAACCCTCCACTCAAAAACATAGTTGAGATCCAGATTAAGATAGTCAGTTTAGATCCCACTGAAATCAATACGAAAACGTAGGCCAAGTGTGAATAATTTGTTCATCTGAGTCACACACATCTGAGCTACAATAATAACAGTCTTCTACTGGTATAAAGACAGTGTCACTCCATAAATGTGCAGAGATGGAGAAAAAAGAACATGTTTGGACATTTGGTATTCATTTGCCATATATACAAAGGACTTTCTTGTTAATAAACCAAAATCATAATTTTTGATTAACAGTTCCAGACACCATCTGTGTTTATAAACTTGTGGTCTATAAATTATAAAGGATCTTATACCTTCTGTTTAACTTTTGTGTGTGTGTGTCAGGAGTGACTTGAGAAATTGCAAGTGGTGTGAGAGAATTGGCTGTCTGCAAGGACGTTGCCCACGGGATGCCAGGATGTTTTACCATCCTGCGAGAGGCGTCTCTCATGTCCCCGCATGAGAAGCTGGAGTCGACAGATGGTAGTTCACCCCGCCCCCCAGATTTGAACTGCCGATCTTTTGGTCAGCAGTCCTGCTTAACATGATATCCCTGCTTAAATTGTTACTTTTATAAGAAATTGACTTTTTAAAAGAAGCAAGATACCAGTATAAAAAGAATCATAAAGGAAATAGTAATAGTAGATAAATCTGTGTGGCTTCTACTAACCATTAGGTTGTATGTAAACTTAAAAACCCAGTTTTCTTTTAAAAAACAAACAAACAATACCACAATAACTGAATTAGATATGGAGCACTGATGTCAAGGAAATAATCTGAAAATAAAGAGCTCTAGTTCTGGTATGTCAAACATTAGAAATAAAAGTGCAGAAGTTCAGCTACTTTAAGCCTCATCAACTCCAGGGAGAGAATGAAGTACACACTTAGAAATCAGTTCGTCTTCTAGTTTTCCAAAGTTTAGCTTCTTTTTGGTTTGTCTCGTTATTTACTGTATAGCAGTAATAAAGTGAGGCCAACTGCAAAAGCATCATTACCTAATACTTTGCAGAATTATACAAATGAACACAAAAAGTCCCTATTACACAAAAATTTACTTATACACACTAAAACGAGGATATGATTTCCAAACTCTAAAAAAAAATCTCAGACCAAGATACCGAGTTTGTACTAGGAGGCTTCAGGGTCACATCTTTCCTCAGTAAGGAAGCTCACAGGTATTTTGGCCCAGCCATGATCTTTCAGTCTAACCTATTGCTTAGGGTAACTAGAGAAGGAAAAGAACCAAAAATGCTGCTCTGACCTCACTGGGATATAAAAGTAATAAATCAGTAGCCAATGCTGTCACTTTATCTGTGGAAGTAGCTTCTGTGACAGCAAAGAGTGGTTTACAATCCTCCTTCCTCCTACAATAGCTCATATACCCTAAAGACTTTCAAAACTTGTTCAAGAAAGCTGAGAAACACTTTGAAGGAGGTTTTCAGCACCAGGGGAAGGGCTGAAAATATTGCTGCAACTGTCAGTGGCATGTCAGATATAGGTCACAGATTTTTTTAAAAAAAGATGTGCAACACAATCCTGTACAGTTTTCCAAGAATTCTGTTAGCTGAAGTCCAAAACACCTGGAGGGCCACAAGTTTGATACCACTATTCTTATGTATTTAAGTCCTATTGCAGGTTAAATCTAAACAGTCCCAGACAATGCTCTCAAATGCTGAGTCAGCCTCGGTGACAAACAGCTTACCATATCTGTTCCAATAAATGAGTTATCTTCTCTGGGAGTATAAATCCAGTTATTGTACACAACAAAGCCTGATCGACCAGCGTGCTTGGCTGAGGACAGGAATAGGTTGATAAGAAACTAGAAGATGTGTTTTCCCTGCAAAGAGACAGATCACATTGGACACTTGACATGACTATTAACATTTGAACACACTCTTTTAAAAAGCATTGCACCAGGCAATCAGATCTCACACAGAGCAATCTCTTTCACCCACACATACAGAGCATAATATATTAGAAAGCTCCAAGGTATAAGCAGAATATATTTATGCAAATGGCAGATACTTACAAACCAACATTATTAAAAATGGCACCAAGCCATTCAAAGAGTTCCTGTGCACTGCACGCAGCTTCTGGCTCTCCTTGCAGTTTATTATTCTCCAGCACTGGACACTGGACATTTTTTAATGTGCTGAATGTTATTTTTGGCTGATAGGTGTGTATTTCATTTTGGGAGAAATATGATTTCAAGCTTAATTCTTCTGAACCTTAAAAAACAATTTTAAATGACAATCAAAAACAGTATTTTGTTTCAAATTATTTCAATTCTTTTATCATTGTAGGTCAACAAGAAATACAAAACTGTCGATAAAATGCAAAATAATAAAATTCTTTGAAGCAGTGCATATTTCCAGATGTTAGTGGGACTGTGAGTTGTGGCAATCCTGACTGGCAAAGCCAATACCGTAGAATGCTAGGTGTTGCAATCTCACAGCATTTGAAGAATCACACAATTTCCACCCCTAATCTATGTACTACCTCAAACAGATGAATTCCTACCCTATTCTCCTTCAGGTTCCCCAGGTTTATGTTTCCTTTTCAGCAAACAAAGAGGAAAGGATTTTTCAAATAAGTTTACTTGGACCTGAAGGATGAGATCCAATGAGGAGGAAATATGGGAGGTGTCTAAAGAAACCAAGATGATTGACTAAATAACTTTTTGCTGAGTTAAGATTTGAAAGAGGCATGTACAAGTAATTGATAAAAGGGGAGATTACTAAATAGAAGTTCAAATGAATAGCCAGTACTTGGCAATAACCTCTGAGAATTTCCAGAAAACAGGCAAAGTTCAAGAATGTGGCAGGAGGCCGAATATTTACCCCATTTTTGATACAGATATGATTTACTGAATGATAGTAAGAAGGCATGCTGTTTCCAAATCACTTTTTAAGGATATTCTCTAACAGACATGTTTCAAGAAAGTTATCATGGGGAAATGTTTTCTCATCACTCCTTCTGTCCAAAACAAGCCACAATTTTCAAAATCCAGTTATCCCAAGGACAGAAAGTGTGGTGAAATCTTCTAAACATTGGCATAAATAGCAAAACAAACACCACAGGGGTGTTAACCCTGCTCTGTACTGTCCAAAGCTAAAAAATAGACATTTTTGGCCAGTTATACTTTAAAAATGTATCTGTTTCGACTTATATACAATTCAGCTTGAAAACAAACCTATAGAACCTATTTTGTTTGTAACTTGGGGACTGTCTGTAGATGATTTGTACGATAATAAAATACATTTCCAAGATTTTTGTCATTTATGAGTAACAATACGCAAATATGTGCTAGAATTTCTTTTAAAAGTTGTATAACACTTGCATAGTTTCATCTATAATCACTTCATTTTTTCCTTTGCTCCTAGTGGCAGGGGGAGGAAGCCTGGGAAGCACATGGGAGGGGCCACCTTCCCCAGCCGCCTGATCTACAGCAGCCAATAGTTTCCTGGCCCTTAATGGTGAGCCTAATGAGAATGGCCAGCCCTCCTCCCTTAGATCTGCCTGGGAGCTCATCCAAACAACTGCTGGGTCCAAGGGACGAGGGCCATCTGTTCTCATTATTAGGCATCCAACACATCAGGAAGTGTTTGTTTCTAGTAGCAGGGGGAGGAGGTCTAGGGGTGACATGATTCCCCTCCCTCAATTTTGTCTCCCAACATTTTTCGCACAACACGCTAAAATGTTGCAACAGTTAGGAAAACTCTGCTCAAGGATGGCTAAAACACATGAAAACATTATGTAAACTGCAATGATATCTGATTTCACGTCTTCCAATTACTTTTCATGATCAGCCCACTATTACCTGTGTAATGCCAGGCCAATAAGAAATCAAACTCCAGGGGCTTTTTTTCTTTCAAGGCCCAAATCACTCTGCTATGTTTCTTGCTATGAGGGTCAGAGGCTAAATCAGTCAGGTTAACAGTAATAACTAATAAGAGAGAAAAAGATAAGCAATGGAAGTATATAGCAATATTTTTTTAATTACTTAGGCAACAAATTCTTTTAAAAAATACAATTACTGTTATGCATATTAAGAATTATAACATTATAATATATACAATATTTATATATTACTATTCACTGGGTCCCCTGGTGGCGCAGCAAATTAAACCACTGAGCTGCTGAACTTGCTGACCGAAAGTTTGGTAGTTCAAATCCAGGGAGAGGGGTGAGCTCCCGCTATTAGTCCCAGATTCTGCCAACCTAGCGGTTCGAAAACATGCACATGTGAGTAGATCAATAAGTACCGCCTTGGAGGGAAGGTAACAGCATTCCATGCTGGCCACCTGACCTTGGAGGTGTCTATGGACAATGCCGTTTCTTCGACTTAGAAACAGAGATGAGCACTATCCCCTACACTTTGCAACTTAAAATACAATAAAAACAGTTTGTTCAATCCACAAAAACAATGTTACTAAAGAAACATTTCTATATTCCTAAATTAAAAGAACAACAATAGAAATGCCTCAGTTTCACAAATAATCGCATGAAAGATATTTCATGTAATTACAAAATACCATGTACAAGACCATTATATAAATAATAAAGCACTGCTGGGAAGATGACAATCTTGCCTTCTCAAACTGTATTCCACAGATCCCCAGGGTTCTGCAAAAACATTGTAGGGGTTCCACAAAAAATCATTAAAATCTTTTTTTAAAAAATCCATGCCAGACTATGATGATTTAATTGAAATTAAATGTACCTCTTCTTTAAAAACGAAAATTGAATTGTACCATAGAATGACTATTGAGTAGGGCTGACAGGTGTATAGGTGCCAGTAGTCAGATTTATTCTAGCAATGCTCCCTTTCAAGTCCACCTACTGATGTGAATCAGACTTTTCAGCTTATGCTTATACCAAAAACAAATTTAGGAGTATGATGCCACCCTGGATTCACATATTCAGTTTTTGAACATAAAGCCCAATTTCAAAATTATTTTAAGGACAAAAAAGAAACATTTTTCTGCATAACTGTAGATGTGGATCAAATATTTTCCTATACCAAAATAAATGTTTGTAGTCATATCCAATATTTTCTTGTACCAATATAAAGCTTTGTGTTTATATGTAAAATGTTTTCTCTTTATTCTAAACCTATTGCATTAAACAAAACACTCAAGCAATAGGAGTAGATGAAAAAGGAAATAATGTGTGGGTTCACCATGCTTAGTGAGAGTTAGGTTACTTAGGAGAAAAACTCTTCTGAAATGTCCAACTATCGAAAAAGTTCGGAAACCGCTGATCTAAAGCGATGCCTCACTAATACAATCTAAAATCCACGTGATTAAATAGGTCCTTGAGATTTTTGTAGCCCAGGTTGTACATGACTTTGAAAGTCAAACTGCACCACAGATAGAGTAAATGTGAATACCAAGTAAGTTTATAAGCTAGAACTGTATAACTACATATTGCATAAAGATTGCTGAATTATTTTATTTTCTCCAACTGAATATCTTGTTACTGGAGAATGATGATTACTTACTGTATCTCATTGGTTTTTTACCAGAATAAAGGGAAGGATGGCCTTGTAATCCAAGTTCTTCATATGTGTCCTTGTCTACTGATATAATTAGTTTGCCTGTTAAAATATTTAAAATAACAGTATTTAATTACCATGCAAATATAGAAATTACATCACCCCCTTCTGTCATGCCCATATTCCCATCTTGCCGTTTTCAGGAACCACTCATGGACTGAATTCAAGGACTGATATGTAATGTTTGTAAAAGATTATAAAACTTGAATAAATGTCCTACCTGTTGGTAGTAGAGCAGCAGTATTGTCTTGGTCAATCCTTGTATTATATGTAAGAGCATAACATGACCCTAAAACACAAAGTTAATACATCTTTTTGAATGGGAAAATGTAAAGCTACACTTATTTTTTTTAACATTTGTGTCAAAAGCATTGCATAAATAAGTATAAAACATAAAATAGAGGGAGCATAAGCGGCTAAATATTTTTGGAACAAAAACTGTCTGTAGTTTTACACAATTCTTCCTCTGTGTATGAGGCACGGCATTGTGAGCAAGAATACAGATAGGGAGTTGCTTGTTCTGCTCCACAGTTGCACAAGGTGGAGTATTCTTCCAGGTACTGCCATTTTGCCAGGTTGTCTTTTGATCTGCCAACTCCGCTTCTGTGTCTGTTCAGGGACTTCCAAGTTGCCCATTCTTGGTTTGCCCCTGAAGGCAGACCCTCATGGGGGCCATTCATTTGGGGTTTCCTGGTTTAGCTGCCCAGAGGGATGCACTTGCTGTTGCTGGGAGAACATTAAGAGAAGTGGTGGTTCTCATGAAGCTTTTCCTTGATTTAAGTCTACTAGGAGGAGGCTGATAGCCATGCAATGGAAATATGTCAGTCAAAGAGGCTTGTTCATTCAAATGATTGTCTGATTATTGTTTATTACATACTATTCTTTCTTTTAAAGCAAAACAAACCTTCCTCATTGTGGCTATTTTCGGTTACTGACACTAAATGACACTTTCCTATAAATTTGTTGTTGCAGAAAATTAATATAAGAATGTGATTCTAATTTCTCTGAACATAACAGAAATGTCTACATTAAAAAAGTCACAAACTCTCTTCCCAATCTTACCATATTTTTCCTTAAAATAATTAGAATAAACCTCTACTAACCAGTGGAGAATCGAGTTCCTTTTACTATCACAGGCACATTTCTTTTCTCTCTTACCTTTTTTCACAAATGTATTAATAAACTCCTCTGTTACAAACTCATGAAGGGGCAATTTCTTCACCAAGTAGTACTCCCCAAAGTCTCCAACTGCATTTTTCAGTATTTCTGGAACCATTCCACATTCAGGGATCAACAAGGACACCTATTCACAGAACATTTGGGACACGAATGAGATCTAATTGACAAATCTGACTGCAAAATCTCTTTTTAAGCAGCTCTTTTGATAACATACAATTATAACAATACAAAGTACTTTAAATGAAATATTGCAATAGCAAGTAAAATTATTAAGATGCTATTATGCACACATCAAATAATACTTTTCAGTTTCTAGATTTTTTCCCCATATCAGAAATGGCTTGAGAAACTGCAAGTTGCTTATAGTGTGCGAGAATTGGCCATCTGCAAGGACTTTGCCCAGGAGATGCCCAAATGTTTTACCATCCTGTAGGAGGCTTCTCTCATGCCCGGACAGACAGGAATTCACCCCATCTCGCGGATTCAAACTGCCGACCTTCAGGGTCTCACTACCTCTGAGGATGCTTGCCATAGATGCAGGCGAAACGTCAGGAGAGAATGCCTCTAGAACATGGCCATATAGCCCGAAAAAATCTACAACAACCCAGTGATTCCGGCCATGAAAGCCTTCGACAATGCATTGCATTTACTACGTTTCCATCTGACTCTTCCCTCCACATCTCCCATTTCACATACGTAGTGACAGCAAGGATACATCAACACTCTAATTTAATGCAGTTGGACACCAGTTAACTGACATGCTCACTGCTATGGGATCATGGGAGTTGTAGTTTGAAAATGTCTTTAGCAGTCTATGGCAAGTAATATTGCTGCCTCAGCAAACTATAACCTTGACTTCTTTGGCTAATAAGAATAGCCAATTGAGCAACTGGAGACATATAGTTTTGGGGGACTCAGACCAGTATCTTGGCCTGAGATCCACTTTGGACCATAGACCAACCCTGAAGCAGCGCTCTCTTTCTGGATAAAAACAGGCTTTCTGCGAGCTGCTTGGGACAGATAGTTTTCTCTTTGACTGGTGAATTATGTGGATTTTTTAAGATGTACTTGTACTGCTGAAATAAACTTGACCTAGTGCTACAAGCAGGTTGGATCAAAAGCAATGCCACACTTAGATCCTTTGTAGGAGCAATGGCTCTCTGGGACTCCTCCAGGTCTCTGCACATAGTCAGGAGTTCCCTGGGCTTGAGAGGGCAATATAATGGAAGACATGCCATAAGTTGAATTCCAACTACAGAAGCTGTTTATTGCGGACATAGCAATAAGGACAGGATGCATGGGACACAAAATGTCTGTCACACCCCCAAATGGGGTCGCAAGGCTTTTATCGCTTTGACAGAGAATTAAATACACATTCTCATTGGTCTAAGCTGGCTGATACAATTTTCACTGCCTCTATATGACTTTGACAGGCATGAAGGCACACATGGGATCTTAACAATGGCACAACAATAATCTATTGTTCTCTGGCCATGAAAACTCAGTTGGAAAGTATCTATAGGTCAATTACTTCAAGCGGCTGGGAAATTAGGGAAGTATTAGAGAGTACTTTATGTACAACTCTGGTCCTTGGCAGCCAGTTAGGCCCCAATAAGGCTAGATTTACACTGCCATATAATCCAGTTTCTGAATCGAGATTCTTTGCTTTGAACTACATTATGAGAGTCTAAACCTAGTTTTAAGATGATATTCTGGATTCGGAAACTGGGTTATATGGCAGTGGGTTCAGAAACTGGGTTATATACCATATAACCTAGTTTCTGAATCCAGAATATCACCTTTAAACTAGATTATATGGCAGTGTAGATTATAATCTAGTTCAAAGCATAGATCCAGCCCTAGTGTGTGTTATCTATTTGTCTTCGTGCTTGATTTCAGGGCCCTTTCCAGCTCCATGTAATTTAGTCCTTTCCAACACTACACTCCATTCCTAAGGAATGTATAGGCCAGGGGTCCTCAAACTAAGGCCCGGGGGCCAGATATGGCCTTCCAAGGTCATTTATCCTGCCCTTGCTCAGGGTCAACCTAAGTCTGAAACGACTTGAAAACACACAATAACAACAACAATCCTATCTCATCAACCAAAAGCAGACCCACACTTCCCACTGAAATATTAATGAGTTTGGGTTGTTGTAGGTTTTTTCGGGCTATATGGCCATGGTCTAGAGGCATTCTCTCCTGACGTTTCGCCTGCATCTATGGCAAGCATCCTCAGAGGTAGTGAGGTAAAACGTTTGTGGACCCCTGGTATAAACCATAATGGGAGAACCAGTATGGCATGGCGGTTTGAGTGTTGGACGATGACTCTGGAGACCAGGGTTCGAATTCCAGCTTGCCTCTGACAGATTCGACATAGAATCACCGCAAGTTGCAAGTTCTCAATGAGGGTAGACAACAATACCTCACTGAGAACTTCAGGATACAACTTTGTGTTGTTGTTGACTGCCATCAAGTGGAATTCCACTTATGGAGACCCTACAAACATACAAGACATGGTGCCATAATGGAATTGCCACTAGCAGGCCAGGGCTCGTGGAAATAAGTGAAGTGCACTGAGGTTCATATGTGTGAGGGTAAGGGTTCGTCTACACCCTAGACTTAATGCAGTTTGACACCACTTCAACTGCCCTCAGTCAATGCTATGGAATCAGAACCATGGAAAACTGCAAAGGATGGTGGCATCACCAGAGGGCGGGGGGGGGGAGGAGTATTCTACTGCCTTAAAGTGACGTCACGCTTCTCTTCAGAGAGCCTCGACCACMCCCCCTCCAGCAGACCAACAATTCTTGCCACCACGCGCCGCCCCCCCCCTCCTCCCTCCCTCCCGCGCGCTCACCCGGCAATTGAAGGCGTGGCTGCGCACGTGCGCCGCGTGGCGGGAGCGCTCGTGCCGCACGTGGCTCCTCTCGCACACCAGCAGGTGGCGGGGAGTCTCGCGGAGCCATCTCAGAGGGACGAACATGCTTTCCTCTTCCTTTTCWCTCCGGTCGCGCGCCCAAGCTGAGAGAAGGGCCAAGGAGGGGGCGGGGCCTGAACGTCACGCYCAGCCGGGAGAGAGAGAGAGAGAGAAAGAGACGAGGAGGAGTTYTCAGAAGGGGGCGGGGCGATCTGTGCGCATGCGTATTTTCCTGCTTGGGGGAAGCGCTCCTCCCAATACCTCGTTGCCCTCACTGGAATGGCCAAAGTGAAGTTGTTGCTTCTTGTCCCCAGGAACTAAGTTTTGATTCTTGTGGTTATAATAAGCAATGTCTTTAGCAGCAGTATATTGTCAGCAGCTGTCTCTCTTATTATGCAAAATATTAGGACAGGGAGTAGAATTGTACTGAATATACAGTCCATACTTCAGGAAATAAAGCCCGACTGCTTATTGGAGGGAAGAATAGTAGAGGCCAAGATGAAGTACTTTGGTCACATTATGAGAAGAAAGGAAAGCTTAGAGAAGACAATGATGCCGGGAAAAATGGAAGGAAAAAGGAAGAGGGGCCGACCAAGGGCAAGATGGATGCATGGTATCCTTGAAGTGACTGAATTGACCTTGAAGGAGCTGGGGGTGGTGACTGCCGACAGGGAGCTCTGGCATGGGCTGGTCCATGAGTTCACGAAGAGTTGGAAACAAATGACATTATGGTGATTTTGTCAGTGGCAATTGTTTTTAATGCTAGCCAAGGACTGTTACAAAGGTGTAAAAAAGCAGGGCATGTGGCCATGCAAATGTTATTAACAATGAAGACCACACAAGCTAGGAGAGGCTGCAGCCGTTTGCTTTTGCCCAAGTCTATTGGGAAGGGCGAGATTCTATCTCCTTCCTGTCCGCATAGTCAATTGAGTGCAAACTACTTTGCATTTTGAACTCAGCTTGCAGCAGTTAGAAAGCTGGGAGGACAAGGAAGACTATGAGTTATGGAAGGAGAAACTGTTGTAATTTTTCTTAAACAGCTGAAAAATGGGATGAGAGAAGATTTACCAGAGTTCTCTGTGCCAAAGAGGGACAGGAAGATGGTATGTATACATAGAATCAAAAGATTGTGAGCCCAGAAATTGGTATTTAGTAGCACAGCTGTCATTTTGTTACTGCTTATTATTCAACATTTCAGAAAGTTTTGCACATCATCCAGCTTTGCCTTCTGCCCATCTCTTCTGTAGCGGATGTTTCTGGTTCTAAATACCATGTTAAAAAATAGTTGCCACTGACGTGGAGCTGTCAGTTTCCTTTATTTTCTTAGCATATTAAGGATTTGTCACTTTGAAAAGAAAGCCACTGCAGTTAAGATCTAGTGCCTGAAATTGCTTTTTACGTGCTTTTTTCTTGTCCCTTTTTTGTTTCATTTTGTGTCTCTTAAAACTGGGAGCACAGACTATGTCATTACTGATCTTTTAAAAGCCCCGAGAGCCATTTACAGTTGAAGAGCAGGGTGAAATACTTCAAATAAATAAAATAAGGTGTAGGATCTAAATGCTTGCATCTGGAGCTGAGTGTCAAATCTGCACTCATTACATTCATTGAATTAGACTCAGGTATGTCATTCTCAAAGCCGTAGGGGAGGCACGCATGAAAAACAAGTGTGTGCCATCAAAATTACATACAGGACAAAATATAATAAATCAATTGGTTGTCCTCCATTGTTTACCCAACGCTTTTTCCTGAAGTGACATCTCTAATCAATGTTCATTTTATACACACCTAATTGCTTGCTTCAAAGAGCAAGATGTTCCAGGCAATTGAATTTTCTGAATATATAATACCTAATGTTTGTGAATACCTGTTGAGGCAGGAGTTTCCAAGCAACCGTTATGCATGTTTTCACATATGACAACAAAAGCATTTCTTTCTCTTCATGATACAGTTCAACAAAAGCAATAGAGTTAGACTATGTTCCCCCAATTACTGTCATTTCACTAATGTCACTTACACTATGTAAAAAGTTAGTAGTGAATTTTACCTTTCACTCTTAACAACCGTCTTGTGAGAAAGTAAATATGGTCAGTTTTGATTACAGTGCAACTTACTTATCCACAGATTCGATATCCACAGTTTCACTTAACCACGCTTCAAAAAGTATTTCCTCCCCCCCCCCCCCCCCCCACACACACACATACAAACACTCCAGAAGTGTTTGTGGACCTTTCTAGGCTCTCCAGTGCAATTAAATGGTGCGCTTGTAGTCAAAATATAGGGTTTGTTATTATCTATGGTTTCAGGAACCCACTGGGTGGTATTGATTTTGGATCGTCTCCCCACAAATACGGGGTTGCATTGTACTCATATTGAGTACTTATGTTTTATAGCCACCCTGTTATCATGAGAAAACCCATAGATGAAGCAGTATAAACAATGCAGATAAATCTAAGCATAATATTAAATTCTTTGTTTCTCAAACAATTATTTGAATAGTTTCCATAAGGGAACCTCAACTGGATAGATATCATATAGGGGTGTCAACCTTTTACTTCTACTAAGTTCCTTATCAGAATGTTTGTCATATTTGTTACTTAAATAGAAAGAAATCGATGCCCATAGGGAATTTCCTCCCATTGAGGACAACAGAGGCACAATGAGAGTATTCTGATCAAAAGCATGGTCAGTGGTAAGAGTGAAATCTACCTTCTCTGACATGATTTCAGGCTTCTGCCATTCCCCCTTTCAATGGCTGTCTTACCAAAAATCAAGCATGACATGGTAAACTACTGTGAACTTTACTCTTGTAGTTTTCAAATGGATGGCTAGTGCTTTGGTTATAATATTTCATAATAGGAGTTGGTTGCGTTAGTGCTTTCTTGTGTATCGGGAGTGACTTGAAAAACTGCAAGCCGCTTCTGGTGTGAGAGAATTGGCCATCTGAAAGGACGTTGCCCAGGGGACATCCGGAAGTGTTTGATGTTTTACCATCCTTGTGGGAAACTTCTCTCATGTCCCCTCATGGGGAGCTGGAGCTGACAGAGGGAGCTCATCCATGCTCTCCCCAGATTCAAACCTCAGACCTTTCAGTCTTCGGTCGTGCCGGCACAAGGGTTTAACCTATTGCGCCGCCGATGGCTCCTTACTGCTGATGCATTGTTATCTTAGTATATAAAATGTTAAGGTGTTGAAGCACTAGCTCCCAATTTGAAAATAACATTTATTATCCTATAAATAAAAGTAAGTGTTTAATGACCAAATAAGGCATCTTGTCATTTTATATGAGCAATCCCTATGCATTATAAAAATATTTCATTTTAAGATGTGAAAAGCTTTTAACCTCTGGCAATCTCCTTTAATATTCTGAGTAAATTGACAAATGAATGACCTAAGAAAATACAATTGAGTAAATCCAGTTTTATGAAATTACAGAAGAATATATTATCAGGTAGCCTGTACAGAATGCTTTCAGGTAATAGTCTACAAAAACATAAAGTAAGATGGAATTTGGAAAGTTATTTCTTGTAATAGATTGCAAAATAATTGCTGTTTCTTCAAATTCTATTTATAAAAGAATACCGCTCAAACTATAAGGGAAGTACTTCTTGTGAATGCCCATTCCTTCCTCTACATATGAGAATTGTGCCCAAGGCTGAAAAAAGGCACTTGTTGCTGATGAAGACTAAAAAAAATTATATCAGATTGCAATATGGAGCAGAAAATCAAATTAAAGGTTAATGCAATTTTAATGTTCATGCAGCCAGCCTAATTTGTTGCAGTGAAGGGCATAATTAAAAGCTAATTAAGTAAAATGAATTCTTACACTTTTAATGCCATGTTTATTCCACTCTACCATCTGGAAAAGCCATCAGAGAACCACACCTCCCATTTAAAAAAATAATATTTTGTTAAAATAAAACCTGTTATTGCATTCAAATATAAGTTGGTATCATGTTGGGGCATTTTTCCAGCATAATCTCTGATTACACTGGGATTGTACTTTATATGTTTGTATTTGGAGGTATCAGTACCCTCTTAGGTAAGAAGTTATTTATTGCAGACGTGAATAACAGTGCAATATGCTAGTTTGATGATGATGATGATGATGATGATAAAAATTGTTAATTTCCTCTCCTCACAGCTCAAGGCAAGGTACAACACAGTCAAAATACATTCACATAGAATACATACTATAAAATACATATATTAAAACACATTACTATAAATGCATATAGATTAAAAGACATCGTACAAATATTAAAATACAATAGAAGTGGAATGTGAATTTAAAATTCATAATTCAAAATTGACTGGGGAGGCTTGCTGGAAGAGATAGGTCTTAATTTGTCTCTTAAGTTATGACAGCTGATCTAGATGTCTAAATTCTTCTGGCAGGTCATTCCACAGTCTTGGGGCAGTTGATTAAAAGGTCCTATGAGTGATGGTTGCAAGTTGGGTTTTTGCTGGTTGGAGTAATTGTGCCCCCAGAAGACCTCAGTGTCTATGGCAGACTGCATGAGAGAAGGCAATCCTATAGGTAACCAGGACCCAAACCATGTGGAGTTTTAAAGATTATTACCAACACTTTGTACTTTGCCTGGAAACTAACTGGTAGCCAGTGGAGTGACTTTGATGTGGGTGTTATATTCCCACTCCTAGATGTTCCCGTAGTCAATTTGGCTACTGTGTTTTGGAATAACGGGAGTTTCCAAAATTGGTACAGAGGTAGCCCAATGTACAGTGCATTGTAGAAGTTTCAGCCTTGAAGTTAGTAGTGCGTACACTACCATCTTTATGTCTGATGATTTTAGGATGGAGTGCAGGATGTTGCTACTATTGTATGAAGTCCTAAACAACTCAGAGCTTAATAATAATAATAATAATAATAATAATAATAGGTTGTAGGTTTTTCAGGCTATATGGCCATGTTCTAGAAGCATTCTCTCCTGATGTTTTGCCTGCATCTATGGCAAGCATCCTCAGAGGTTGTGAGGTCTATTGGAAACTAGGCAAGTGTTATATATCTGTGGAATAACCCTAACCGTTTGCTTCAGGGTCTTCAATATAGGTATATGATGGACAGAAATATATGGTGTAGGTAATCATCTCTTCAGGAGCCATATTTTCTACAAGTAGTGATGAGGCACATATAGCTTTCTCTAAT